TTTTTTGATCGTGTGTCGTCCCTACAGAAGCGGGGCCCGGCCTTGGCGCTACGACCGGGCCTTCCCTTGGCCGACCAGCCTGAGGCTGCGGCGCGTGTACGGGAAGGCCCGTGGCCGAACACTGAGCGAGGTACTGGTGGTTTAATGGTGTTGAACTTGTCTCACGTTATCCACAACGTAAGCATACTCGCACTAAGATTTTCTCAAGTGAACATTGTTGTAAATCGTGCAACATACATCATGGAAGACCCTACAGCGAGGACCTGTAAAATATTAAAAACGTAGAAGATGGCATACTTACATTGGACCTTTCCTCGACCACAATTATGCCCAGATTTAGCCGAGAAAGTATGAGTGTGAATGTGCCCTGAGCAATCCAGTCTGTTGTCATCAACAGCATGGCTTACTCTCAAGGAAAGGTTCAATGGTGTTGAACTTTGTCTCGCGTCATCCACACGGTCAGAGCATACTTGCATTGAGATTTTTCTCAAGTGCACATTGTGTAAATAATGCCAGATATGTGCTGGGACTCCTGGGAGACCCTAGTGTGGGGACCTAAGAATACACACAATTCTTTCTGACGCTGAGGGACATTCCTAGGAAACAGTTAAAACTTAAAAAAATCACTTTGGACAACAGTACAGAGGATATCTCACCGATGATAAGGGAATTCTTCTGGTTCAGAACATTGACCAGACACAACCTGAACCGAAACGCCTGCTTAATGCCAAGCACCTTCTCTTCTCTGTGCCTTTCTAGAGTGATCACCACATATTTGTTTGCCGATCCAGCCACGAAGGAAAGACACCTGCAAGCAACAAAAAGCAATGCAATCGTTTGTTCCTCGTTATCTTCCTAAACCCTCGAAAACTGGATTAACTTCTCACTGAAAGGTATGCAAGGAAACAACTTAAAACAAGCAATGAGAACAGCAATAAACCAGATTGTGGCATCTCACAGGAGATCACAGGCGCTGCCACAGTACGGCCCTGGTCCCGTGTCCCATTTTTCTTTTGTACCTTGGGGCCAAAGTAGAACATTGCAGTACGTACTGGACTGGACAAAGTAGAGCTCCGATAGGATGAGACCGGTAGGAACACTAGAGGGTCTTAGTAGCCAATAGGAGGGAGTCACCAAGTGTCCATTCCCGGTCCCACTGCAGTTCACTCCCAGGGAAAGTGTCTGCCACGGCCGGGCCCAGCAGGAAGAGCCCGGAATCACATGGGAGGCAGAGGCAGCGGCACACACGGGAGGCCAACCTCAGGAACCTCCTCTTCTTCAATTCTGACAGATAGGGAAGTGCTGCTGTGTTGCTTGGGCACCAAGAGCATGGAGCGCGAACAGTGCAGGCGAGAGAAGTAGTCAACGGCGCACGGTGCCGTAGCTGGGAGCTTGCATAGAGGGGGGAGAGAGAGAGAGAGACAGGAAAAGCAGCGAGGACATTCAGAGATTGATCTGTAATGACCCGCCAAAACACAGATGAGAACACTGCTGATTTCTGGGATTTGCCGCTGGAATGAATGCCTTGCTGAGATTCCCACATTCTGTTGTGGTTTCCAAGTCTGTGTGTGTGTGTGTGCCTGCTGGGTTGTGTGCCTGTCTGAGTGCTTGTCGGCTGAGTGTGTGTGTGACCCACAAGGGCACTCATTGGTTGAAAGGCCCCGCAGGGCCGGTACGTAACTGCGGCCGTGACTTTGAGGGTGGCAGTGCGGAAAGTAGCGGGGGTAGGCCCGTGACACTTAGAGCAGCGGGAAAAACACACAAGTAGCAGGTGGGCCGGTACCACTCAAGTAGTGGTAGAAGTGTCGGGTACTGGAGGCCGAGCAGAAGAAGACAAAAAGTTGGCATTTTTAGAGGCCCAGCAGCAATAGGTTAGAGGTAGGCCGGTACCAGTCCAAGTAGCCCGAGTCTAGGGCATGTCCGGACGATAGCAGAGCCTGCAATGATGTTTCCCTCGGAAAGGGAGGAGGTACCGGTTGCTGGGAGGCTGCTCGGCCTAGGAAGTCACCGCCCAAGAGGCCAGTAGGCCGCTGTATCTTCCGGAGGAGCAACCAGCTCCTCCTCATTTGCGGTATGCAAGGATTGGCAACATGCTGCTGGAGCCAAGCGCTGGACTTGGGCAGCGCTGCCTGGAGGTGACGAGCAGCTGGGCGCTCAGCCTGGCTATGGCGAGCAGCCCAGCCTGAGGAGGAGGAAGAAGCGGGCAAAGGAGGAGAGTGGCGAGGTACCTACCTGGCTATGGTGGACGCCATCTTCATCACCTTGTTGGGCGCTGCATCTGGAAGGACCCAGTTGGGGTAGCGTCGCACCAAGGAAGCTCGAGGCAGAGTCAGGCATGGCGACTTAGTCAGCAGCGGCATAGCTGCTTTGGGTTGTCCTTTGGACAGGAGTGCAGCGACATAACTGCTTTGCGTTGTCCTTTGCACAGGAGGGCAGAGCCCTCAGTAGTCCGCCATAGCCTAGGCATGTGAGAGGTGGAAGAAGGGGGGAAGCCATAGCTATGGTGGACCTATTGTGATGTCAGAAGCAAGAGGGAACTTCGGACATTGATTCTGGTTCATCCACTCATTGTTATTATTATTATTGAACGAAGAATATGATTGGCGAAGTGGAGTAGGAGGAAGGTGGAGAGAGAAGGGGGATTTGTCATTGGTCGTGCTGGTATACTTCCTCTTTTCTTCTTCTTCTTCTTCTTCTTCTTCTTCTTCTTCTTCTTCTTCTTTCTCTCTTCTTTGGTCTCTATCTCTTTGCAAGTGCTTTCATTTCTTTCACAATTCGGTGTCATTGTCTTTCATTGTGAATTTGCACTTGGGGAATGACCAGGATCGTAACAATTGGTATCGGAGCGGACTTACTTGCTAGCGAGAGGTGTTAGTCACCCTAAACCTAATTCCGAATTAGGTTAGGGCTAACTTAATCTCGGATTAGGGTTGGAAGTTAGGGTTAAGAGGGGTAGCGAGGTATGTGGATGCTGGTCATGTAGGGTCGACATCAGACCTGACCAGGTTGCTTGTGTGATTGAACGGGGTGGCGAGACACAAAGTAGGCTGATTGGAGTAAGCGAGAGGGAGTAGAGAGTGAGAGGTACTCACACCTGGAATCTGCACTTCAAGAAGACATTGAGTGACTTTTGGGCTTCCCCTCAAGAGGGAGACTTGATCGGAGGCTGCCATATCTGCATCGAAGAGCTGCAAGTTGCTACTTTGGTCTTCAGACATCGACGGAGGATCCGGCGTTGTAACAGGGGTGTAGGGAGGCCCTCTTAGTCATGCTAGGACACTCCGTGTAGTGGTAGCTAGGGGTCAGGAGGACCTATGAGAGAGGGGGGTGAGTCGTTATCCATCTTTGGAGGCCGGGCCTCACAGGTAAGTGTCATGTGACCTGGGTATGCCCGTGGGAGGTTGCTTGGTGCTTCATGGCCTGTTGGGGTGTGCTGGGCTCTCTTCCTCTTCTCTGCGGTCCTGGTTGTGTGTGTGAGCATGTGGATTGCTTTCTCACCTGATGGATGAATGGATGATGTATCTTGTTCTCAATGACATTTCTTTCTACTGTGCATTGTCTTTTCACTTCTGAACGGCCGTAGGGGTAGGTTCTTGCTGAAAGTTGTCTTTTCCTTTTCAGTGCGGTAGAGGCAGTTTGGGACTCACTTGGTACACCTATCTCGTTGTTTCTGGTCCAAGACGTACTTGGGGCCCTTCGGGACGCAGTGGGGTCAGGCCCAATGGGACAGGACCTTTAGGACCCAAATCTGTTGCCGTGAACGCATCTCTTTGCCGTGCCGAATCTGGAGGGATACACGGCTAGTAAGGACATTCCTTTCAAGGGGATCTTGACAGGTCTTAGTTCATGTTCTCTTATACCGCCCCGCGTCTGACTCGGCGACCGTCTGCACCCCTCAAAATCTCCATTCCTGCAGTTAGTTTTCTTCGGGTGACTTATTTGTGCTACATGTTCCTTGTCAGGTTAGACAAGAGGGGATCTCCAGCTAATCCGATCGGGCCCGTTCCGGGCTGTTCGTTAAGTCAGTCCTCTCTTTTGTTTGTTTTTATTTATCTATTTATTTATTTATTATTTTTATTCTGCTGCGTGAATGCCACTCAAGTCCAAATGAATTGCCGCTCCAGCTAGGAGTTCTACCTTCTGCTCTTTGTGATTTTTTTTTTTTTTTAAAATCTGAACTACCTATGTCCAGCATTGAGACACGTGCACACAAAGTGGAAAGAGAGACGGGAGAGTGAAGGTATTCTTTTTGAGAGTGTGAGGAGGGGTAAGAGGAGTGTTCATCCAAACGTGAGCAAAGTGCGGACCCCTCTTGAGAGATCTACTGACACCCCATCCTCCAACATGGCAGACATCTCATCTTCCCAATGGCAGGCCATGCTGGACGCAGCGAACGAGAGCGAGAAACCGTTTTTCAGAAACTTTATGAGGACGTGATACAACGAGAGAGGGAGACAGAGGCAGTAGCCAAAGCCACAAGTATTGCTACACAAGTGGCCCTCCTCGAGGTTCCGGAATCTAGTGATGGCCGGTTCCAAGAGAAGCTAGCTGCTGCCGTAGCAGCCTTAGTTCGACTGCGGACCTTGGAAGATCTTGAGTCCCGTATGACAGCTCTAGAGCAGCGGAACCAAGAGCTGCAGGCTGAGATAGTCAGCCTCAAACAGACCCAACTGGCTGGCCCCCGTCCTCCTAATCCTCGACCTGCTGCAGTCCCAGTCTCTCACCCTAACACAGTCCTCATGCAAAGAGCAAGCGGAACAGTGACGAGCGCAGGAACTGGTGCCAGCTCCTCAAGCAGCAGCGCCGACAGTTCTGCACTGGTCCCAGTCCCAAATGCAGGAACATTTGCCCAAAACGTCGCAGTTCTTACTGGCGTACAATACATGGGTCCCGTAGTGGACAAGAGGGCGGCCACACAACCGTCCAAGTACGACGGGAAGGGGGACACCACCTCTTGGATCAGCGACTCATACTTCGAGATATTGCGAACACCGCAGGAAGACCGAAGCATGATCATGGGCACAAACACTAAGCCCGCCCTACGAAGTTTCATAGAACTCCAAGCTGTTACTGCAGGTTATGAGAGGATTGACTTGACTGAGTGGCTGAAAGTAACTCCTGTACGTACTCTTGAGGACCTCCTCATCACGCAGTATCAAGATGAGCACGCTGCGCTCAAGGCAAGACTTAAGCTTGAGGCCCTCAAGGGCCAATAGTGGAGGACTTCCATGCAGGCTTTGGAGAAGCACTTGACTGGTCTGTTCACCACTCCAAACCTGGGATGGACTGACGTGTCTTGCATGGATGTAGTAATGGGTGTAGCCCCTGAAGACTATGTCTCCCGGCTAGGACTCAAGGACCATACGACCTGGCGTGAGCTACTGACGGATCTAGTCAACCTAGAAGCCAAGAACCTCGCTAGGCATGCGAAGACACCCGCTGCAGGTAGAACCTCACGACACAGCAACCAGCTTGCCCTGCATGAACATCGGAAGGCAGAGGATCAATCCTATGCAGATGATCTGTCTCTAGATGACGATCTACAGCCGGACTCTGACGTGGTCTGTTCTACATCAGCCCTTGAGTCTGACATGAATAGTGCAGAGAAATGCAATGCCTTTAAAAAGACTGCTTCAACTTGCCCTGCATGAACATCGGAAGGCTGAGGATCAGTCCGATGCAGATGATCTGTCTCTAGATGACGATCTAGAGTCGGACTCTGACGTGGTCTATTCTACATCAGCCCTTGAGTCTGACATGAATACTGCAGAGAAATGCAATGCCTTTAAAAATACTGCTTCAAGCAAG